TCCACCAGACGTTCCCAGCAGACCCTCACTACACGTTTGGGCCTGCCGAGTCTTTCAGGCTTCCTCCTCTTCCAGCGCATCCAGCTCACCACCAGGTGGTGGTCCACCGACCACCACCTGGTGGTCCACCGACCATGATCTGTTCTATATACTTTTATCAAGTGTCACATGCTTTAAATCGACCTGTTGTGCATGTAATAAAGCCAAGGAGTGATCTTCTGATCCCTGAACCACTGACCATTAATATAAAGTCAACTGCTTCTGTAGCTCTGACGCCTTCACTGATGTATTTCTTCCTGATTGGGAATAAGACTCGCCTACGATATAATATTTCCTTTCGAAACTGGTGATTAAGAATGAAATCTGTTCCTCTCAGCTCTCTGCCCTGACTTGTTCTTTTTGTTTGTAATGCTCAAACTTAGCTATGATTGGTCTAGGAGGGGTTTTATCAGGCTTCTTACCTCCGAGCCGGTGAACGCAATGGAAGGTGATGATTTTTACCTGGTCCGCCGGGATTTTTAGCTTCTGCTGGAGGAAGTCATGGATTGTAACCTCAGGACCCTCTTCCTGCCGCTCTGCGATTCCTGAGAAGACGAGACTGTCTCTCCTGCTCCGCGACCGAATGTCCAGAATGGATTCCTTAATCTTCTTATTTTCGCCGGACAGCTGGATCATCCCCTCAGTGAGTTTGGTGACCTCCCCCCTCAGTGCTTCATTCTCGGCGGTAACGGAGGCTAGCTGCGCTTGGTTGTATTTCAGCGACTCTCTCAGAGCTTGAAACTCCTTATGCAGGACTTCTACCAAGGCGAGGAGGGCGTCCAGGCTGGTAAGCTTTTTGTCGATGGATTTCAGGACGTCACTGTAGCTCCTGTCTGGAGACAAAGTAGAAGTAGAAGCAGCACTGGTTGAATTAGATCGACCTCGTTCAGTAGAAGGCGTTGACGAGGATGTGGTGTTCCTCGGCTTCCCCATTACGATGTTGTCACAACACTCGTCCAGGTAGCTCTACAGGCTCATCAAGGTCTCATCTTCCAGTTTGTTCCCTTGGAAATATGGGACAATTGTTAAAGTTTAAACCTGACTTTGTTTAATTTACAATTATTGGCTTGTACTTACCTGAGTGGATTTGTTTGAAATGTATGTCGCCATTTTACTTACGCACACAGCTCTAGTTTTTTTAAGTCTCTTCCAGATCTAAATGAAGCTGTTAAAAAGAAATATCTGACCAGTTCAAATGTAATGATGAACCAACTAACCAAAAATGTGTATCTCTAGTATTTCCTTCTCAGAGCTCCATATCAGGACTAAGGACTATTTCACTAAGTTTTGCGCAACATCTCTCTGTAATCCCTTTAATTATCCCTGAGAGTTTCAGTTTTAGCTTTAAGGGCCTAAAAACTTTTAATATACTCAAATAAAATCTCTTGATAGAATTTCTGTGACAAATTTTTTGTGTGTGGAAAATCTGGATTTTTTTTTTATCAATGCTTCTCGTGGGCTTCCATACCTTAGAGTGACATATGTTTATTAGATATGGAGCCATAACTGATAAACTAGCTCAATGTGTTTGATACCACTACCTGCAAACATTTAGTGTGTTTTATTTTCATTGTTTTGTTATTTTACAGCATGTTTCATGGCTTACATTTCATTGCCATTTAAATTAAGGTCACCTCCCAGAGGGGATGACTGAAATCAAAGGTAGTTTTGGAAATTAATATATGGTATTTGTTGGTTATATTATGAAAAAGTATAAAAAAAATATTGATTAATTGGATTTTGTAGGGAAAAACTGACATTAGATTTTAAAGCCATTTCCCCCAGCCCCACTGTGAAGTGTAGACATTAATAATTAACCTACAGTTGAGGTTGAAAGGGGCGCTGTCCTGTTTTTGCAGTGTGTTGGCTGATCTGCAGACGATTTGGCTAAGATCATTCCTGAGGACATCTCTGATGGTCAGCTTACTGGATAATCCATCCTGTGTAACAAACAAAAGAGAAAATAACAAGAAAATAATTGCTATTTGTTACTCACTTGGTATAAGCTCTAAACAAGATGTTGACAGTAATTAGCTTCATCTCTACGTTCTTTTTTTCGTTGTCGTTATTTTGTTTTGTCTCCAAAGGGAAGTTACCATATGGACAACAATCAAATAATTTTAAATATTTTGTGAATACCTTAACTGGGAAAACTGAAGAACTTCATTTTCCAAGCTTTCAATCATTTTATTAAAACTCATTATGTTTAGATATAGAGATGTAACCAATTTTGATTTTTATTGTTGGAATTTTAATTTCTTGAAAATAAAATTAATTAAATTGAAATCCATAAAAAAAAAAAAAGAACCTGAGAATCTTCCTTGGTTATCCGGTCGCCATCAATAACAATAGGCTTGGTTTTATTTAGCCAGGTGAAGGTAAGGTGGGATCCTTTAGAAGAGCAGGTTAGAACCACTGTGCTGTTGTGCTTGATGGCCCCAGGCAAATCTGACTTGATCACAACATCAGTCACAGGCTCTGCAGGGAAAAAACAATCACAAGAGGAATAAAATCAAATGCAATCAAGGGAAACACCTGGCACTAGAGTTGAAGTGACTTTTAACAGTTCCTGAACTCACTATTCTGGTAACGTACATGTTGGCTGTAAGAAGAGAAAACAGAAACCAACTAGAGCTCCCATTTCATCAGTCAACTAGGCTTTTATTTAAAGATTATTAAAGGACACAACACTGCTAAGCATTTGATCAGGGTTCCCTGAGTATATTGAGAAAATAAAATAGGCCCACAGCATTACAGGGCCTCTGCTATATGTCAGTATAGGCATGGTTGATTTTTAACTAATTCAGTCTTTATTTTAAAAGAAATCTTTATGGGGAGTTTGTTGACAAAAGGCTTAATTTCAGTGTGCAAAGGCCAAGTAAATCTTTTACACTAACAATGATGCCTCCAAAACAAACCAATACATCGATAATGGACCATAGAGACTAGGTAACCCCGAGATTAACTTTTTAATCTTAAAGGCTACAACGTCCCCCAGCCTGGTGTCTGCCAACTTTAAGGGATGGGCTTCTTTAACAGACCTTTAATATCAATGTATATGTCTAGAAACTGTAAATAACAAGTTGTAAAGAGGATTCTGTTGTGTTTATAAAAAAAAAAAAAAAGGAGTAACTACTCACCGAGAACCCGGACTTTTATCGCTCCAGAAAGAGTATTTGCCGCTACAATGGTGAGGTCGTAATCCCCGCTGTCCTCTGATTTTAGGGACTTCAAAGTCAGGTATCCATTGGTGGTGTTAATAGAAGCTCTGCCTTTATAGGCTTTGCCTACCGAAAACGAACCATCCGGGCGCAATACGGCTACATTACTTGTGTCTTTCCCGTCGCTGTAAATCCATATAAAAATGTCACCGTCCTGCTTTTTATACAGCACTTTAAGCGTCACATCTTTCCCCAAAATGACATCCACAGGACCCTCAGGCAGAATATATTCTCCTACACAGAACCCTGTGGGTAAACAAAAACAGAGATTTCAGAAATAAAGTTGTTTTAACATTCATATTGTCAATTAACTTCAGGGAAACCGTGAAAACAAGGCATAATAAACAGCTGTTAAAACATAAGTCTTAAGATAAATACAACAAAGCGTCCTTAATATAAAAACAATTTAGCCTCACCGGTAAAAAGGAAG